CCCATCGCGCTTGCCCACGAGCGTCTTCGCCTTTTCCTTCATCAATTTACTCAATAGCGCTGCCAGCTTCTCGTCCATGGCTTTGTTGACAGCCTCGTGATCTGCTTCTTTAGTAGCAAGGAGAGATTGTAGAGATGCGTTTTCTGCACGAAGGGTAGAAATGGTGGATTCGAGTGTAGAGATGGTGGGAGAAGAGGAGCCCGAGCGCGTCGACTTGTGCGTCTTGACTTCTTTACGGAGGGCCGAAACTTCTGACTTTAGAGATTTGATGTCGGCAAGTTGGGTGCGGATGATGCTGCAGAGACTAGTAATCTCCGTGACTTGAGCGTTGGTAGCCGTAGCGGATGAGTTGGTTGTCGCATCATCGCCGTCCACGGTAGAGTCGTCATCGTCTTGGCTCAGGACCTGTTGTGCTGCACTGTTACGCAGTGTCTCGACTTCTTCCTTGATCCGCTTGAGGTCTCGTGTTATGCGTCGCTTTTCGCTGCGCTCTTGCTCCAGGAGTGCGCCGGCTTTGCGTACGGCGTCTTCGGCCTTGTCGCGTACTTCGTCCATTGTGGTGTCATGTTCTTCAATCATATCTTCGTGTTGCGCTCGTAATTCTTTAAACTTGGTCTCGACCTCGGCCTTCAATTCCTTCATCTTGCTGAGCTTCTTGTCAATGTCACTGACACGGCGGTCTGCCTCGGCTCGAGCTTCTTTCAACAGATCATTAGCATCTTCTAGGTCTCGTTCGAATCGCTCAGCATCGCCTCTTGCTTGGGCACTTTCACGGTGCGCTTCTGCTAGCTGCTGACGAAGATTAGCATTGCCAGCTTCTAGGCTTTGCAAGCGGCCTTGGTAAGTGTTGATTCGATGCTCAGCCTGCTCCTGCTCCTCAATAACATTTCTCATCTTTTGATCCTTGGTTGCGAGCTCGGACTGCACAGACTGAAGTTGGGACTGGAGGGAACGTATGCGAGCCTCTAGCTCAGTGACCTGGCGAGGCTGTCCATCATTGGTAGTCTGATCGTTCCCGGTAGCCGTAATTCGAGCTCGAAGTGACTGAACCTCTGTTTCCAGAGAGATCGTCTGTTGAAGTTGTTGGTCTTTTGCAATATTATCTGCACGTGCAGAATCCAGCTGGGACTGGAGAGAGCTAATGCGAGATTCCAATTCATCAGGCTCAGTGCGCTGGCCGTGCCCAATAGAGACATTTTGCGCCCTCTCGAGTTCAGACTGCAGCGCACGAAGACGAGTGTTGAGCTCGAGATTTGTTTGAAATAATTGCTGCTTAGCTGCGGCATCAGCCTTCGCACACTGAGCTTCAAAACGCGCATTCTGCAATTCCCCTTCAAGCTTCACAATGCGTCGAGTCTGCTCGGAGGCGGTTGCTTCGACGGCAGACCAGATTTGATTCTTTTCCCGTGCCTCCTCACGTGCCAGCTTTGCTTCGGCTGTCGCCGTTTGGAGATTGGACTGAAGAGCATTGGCTCGTGCCTGAACCGAAGACAGCTGCTCGGCTAGCAGCAATCGTTTGTTCTCCGCATTCTCGTCCGTTTTATCAGACCGTTGTGCCTCTGTGCCTTTCAAGTCTTGGACCTCTCGCTCATGCGAAAGCTTAGCGTGCGACAACTCGGCTTGCACCTCGTCTAGATTCTGGCCTTTTGTCTTGATCTCTTCAGCAAGCTGTCTGTTTGACACTTCGAGATTTTTCCGCTGGTGCTCAATTTCTTCAAGCGACTTCAACCGGGCATCAGCAGCTGCACGAGCTGCATCATGATCAGCACTTTGACGCTGCATGCTCTTTTCTAAGCTCGACAACTTTTCCTTATGTTTGTAATTCTCAGCACGGGTGCTTTCGAGCTCGGAACGGGTATACGACAAGATGGTTTCGAGTTCCGTGATGCGCGACCTTGAAGATGATTCTTGCTGTTCGAGCTGGTGCTGCAGCTCTGCAATCTTGTTGCGGGCAACGTCCTGTTCGTTCGTATCAATGATGGCCGAAGTGTGCCGTATGACGGTCTCTAGAGTGGGTTTCCGTGGAGTATCATAGTCCTCGACAGTAGGTTGAAGCGATCGCGCTTTTGGTGGTGAAGACCTAGGAACTTGCAGGAAACTACGCCGGGGGCCATGCAGTGGTGTTCCGGTAAGGGCGCCATCCATTTCCGTGTCTGGAAGGTTGCTGAGGAAGCTGCGAACCTTTTCATCATTCTCCATTGATCGTTCCGACACTGCTTTGCTGTGCCGGCGCTCTTCCGAAGAGCCATTTGCGCGCCTGTTGGGTGACACGGTACGAGACGGCTCGTCTGACCGTTGCTTGGGCTGTTCGACCACGACTACCGGTTCACCCACCTCGGTCGCCTGCCGCCCTTCGCTGCCGTCCGGTATAGCATCCATCCGTGCGGTCGGGCGCTTGGTGTTGGCTTCTTTCCGCGACTTGATTTGCGCCAGGGGCAGATCAGCCGTCATCCAGTAAGTCATGTTCATAGTAAAGTCTTCTGGTCCCTCGATCTCGCTTGTGTCTACACGGTCGACGGGCGGCTGATGGCTATGCTCAAGCTCGGTCGATTCGAATGTCGAATTGAGGCCTAATGCGTCTAGATCCATCTCATACTGCGATCCATCTTGTGAGGGCGGACGCGACGGGCTGCGTTGGGGCGATTGAAAACGCGTCGGGCTTGCCGTGTATGAGGAATGCGATGGCGCCATTTTTGGTGGACGCGTTGTGCTCACTGCATTCAGATTAGGACTGTGGTGCGGGAGCGGATAAGAATTGGGCTGATATGGATGTCTGTTTGTTGTGGAAACGCATTTCTAGTCTAGTGTCATGCACGTCCGGGGTTAAGGAAGGGTTCGCGCTTATTCCCGGCGCGTTTTGACCCGGTCCCACGAGGAACAGGTGTGGACCCTTCTTGTCTGGCTCCCCACTACCATTGTACATGTGTATGAATATGAGACTGCATAGACAGGTAGCTACATGCACCTCGAAGAGCGTAAGTAGAGTACTTAGAATCAGCACATTGTTTTTGGATTGTGACAAATGGAGAGAGAAGCAAAACATACATAATACCCCCACCATCATGTCAACTATACTACCGAGAGTAAATGCACAAAAAGATAACAACCCCACACCGTTTTTGCGGCCAATCAGCCAATGCATGCGCATCCAAGAAAAAAACTCCGCCCAGGCTACAACAATGCGTAAAATCATCAAGTAACAGTCGCTTCACATGGCCACGGCTTCGTCCAGTTAATTACTCATTTGCAGCCGCCACACCGTTTTCTGCGCCTCGCAAAGCACCCAGCGCCCGTTGCAACTCTTCCTCTGCAACCATGACTGTACCTGCCCTCGCAGTGCTTAAATAGCTCATCTCAACAGGATCCTGCAGCTGGCCCGTTGTCTCGCCCACTAGCCGACCCGCCACGCCACACACGATACCCGTACTCTCCATGGGCAATTCCCTCAGATCAAGCGTAATAGGGGTAAGGAACTCGTCTCTCGAGCCCAGCAAAGTATCTTGGGCAAAGTGCGGTAGTAGTGTGTGATCCAGGAGCAGGGCGGCCGATTCGGTGTCGGTTAGCGTGAGGGATAAAAATTTCGGATAAGGCTGTGTAATGAGACATTTTACAAGGCCAAGATGGAGTGCGTCATCGGCAACAGTGGTCCTGCTGTTGCGGTTGCGCGCTTGATTCATGCCATCTCGGCGGCCTGCGCACTGCACCAGGCGGATGCTAGAGTCTACCGTCGGTACGATGTTGCGGCGCTTTAGGGTAGCAAAAGTCTTTGTTTGCAGTTCGGAGATGGTGGTTGGGGGTGGGCTCCTTGGGGGTTGGACTTCCAAGGAAGCAGCCGAATGTTTGCGGCCAGGCTGGAAGGAGTTGACATACGACGAAGTGTCCTTTTCGAATTGGAACCCGCGCTCCTCGAGTGCCTGCACGACTTGAGAGCGGTGCCGAAGGGGCACGAGAATGTAGTCGGAGAAGTAGGTTGTGATGAAGAAGATGGGTCTAACGTTGCGTCAGCCTTGGATCGTCTTGCATGCAACAATAACACTCACATGCCCGCAAGGGCAAGAGGACTCGTCAGTTCAAGGACACGTTGGCCAGCATCCAGTCCTTCGCCGTCGACTTGCATGACGACAAAGTCGTCCGGAGTAATGTTGACGGATTCTCTGGACTCGGCATCGAGTAGAGCGAGGACAGGTACAAACAGTTCATTGGCAAGCGCCCTCGAGCACACGATAGAACATTCGACTGGGGTGATTGAAATGTTTACGAAAGGATGCTCGCAGGGCCAGCCGTTCAGAGGCTGTACAGCACCCGAGCCATTGTCTAAGCCATCGCGAGTTGCATTAGGCAACACTAGCTGGAGGATGGACTGAAGAAAGGTACGGTAGAGGCGCAATGGAATGTGTATCAGAGCAAGCTCTGTATCCTTGGAAGTGATCATGTTAGCTAAAGCCGACTTGCGAGGGAGAAAAACTTGGTGCGGCAGGGGATGATAAGACGTCGACCCTGCGCAAAGGCGTGCATGAGGGACCCGCCACCAAGGCCGCCCCCGATGTAAAAGGCAGATTTTTTTTTCTTTTCTTCCCTGCAATGCAGCAAAAGGAGCATGATAAATGGAGAATCGACGTACCAGAATGCGGATGTTGGCAGAGAGAAGGATTAAAGAAGACTCCATTACGCAGGCCAGCGGCAAGATAAGAATAGTAAGACGGCGATGGTGGTGATTGATCGCGTGGTGGCAGGGTGCCTACCTGCAGCAGTTTTCCGATTTGGTAAGTCGTACAAGACCAAACAGGCTGCTAGCACAATGGGGCAAGCGTTTGGGGATCGTGGGAAAAAAGCAAGGTAGGCTTTTTTTTTATTCCGACGCTATCACGAGAAGGAAGGGTAGATGCGGGGGTGGGAGGTAACCAGATTATCGGTTGATGTGTTCTTGTCCTACGGGCCAGTGCGAAGTGTCGTTTTTGAAGCCGAAATTCATCCCCCAAAGTTTGCTGAGGAGAGACGAGTCAGGTGGATGATGAAAGCAGGAGTGAGAAGAGCAGAGGAGAGAGAGGCAGAAGCCGCTGTATGCGACGGCAGGACGTCAGAGTGGAGGGCAAGGGTAGGGTAGGGTAGGGGGAGGTCAGGGTGGTCAGGGAGAAGTCTGGGGTAGGAGATGCAGGTAGCGTGGGGATGGCTGCGGATTGGAGAGGTGTAATTGGCTGGTGGGCTGGTCGAGGGTAGGAAAAGGGTCGACGAGGGCTAGGGGAGGGTTAAGGTTGGTGTTCAGGGCAGGGAGTGCAACGCGCTGGCAAAGGCCTTGGACGGCGTGGGATGGTCGGTCGGGTCCGAAACAGGCGCGGCGCGTAGGGCGGAAATGGTGCCGCTGACGTCGATGTTGAGGAAGCGTGGGGGAGAAGGTTGGTGTGTATGGATGGATGGATGGATGGATAGATGGATGGATGGGCCTGTACGTACCGGTATGGGTGCGTGAGAGGGAGCCGGGGGGTGGATGGGCGTTTTTGAGGCAGCGTCGACGCTTTTGTATCTGGCGCCGACATCGATATCGCTAGTAAACTGTGACTCGACGAGGGAGAGACTCGGAGAAATTTCCACGCCCGTCCGCACCATGCCCATCGTAGAACCGCCATGTCCTGCGACACAAAGCAGCGAGTAGTCGAGCAGCACATTGGACATGAGCATGGCATGAGCCGTGTTCTGTATTCACTTGGGGTTGCACGGCGCCATCGTTGCAGCAGGCGGTTGGAGGCCCTCTGGCCTGGTGAGAGGAGCTCAACACCTACCACTCACGACTACAAAAACCACTGCTACTACTACTACTACTACTACTAGTATGGCCCCACAGCCATGCTATCTATCTTGCTTGACTCGGCACTGCGATATGTATGCGCCCGTGCTACTACTAGTCGCCATGCTCCGTCCCATGTCCATCCAGCGCAGTCCCCACTGTCCCGTCACCAACCGAGGAGCGTCACCGACGGCCATCTACAGACACACGCAAACACACACTCATACATAATATCAGTACTCGGCCCATGGGCGTCAGCTTTGGAGTGCCGTCTCGTGTCACCACCACCACGCCTACCCCGCATCCACGCCCTCATGCTCATCTCGTCTGTGCGCCTCACACCGCAGCAATGACGAGCACACGACTCGCTCCATGACGTGCTCGCGCCTCCAAGCCAACACCACGGCTACCTGCAGCTCGGGAGAACTGCGTTGACAAGGCCGACTGCCGTAGTACATGTACCAATACTACACTACCTACACTACACGTACGCTTGTACACATGTACACCCTCTCAAGACCCTGAATAGGTCCGATTCCATCCCTCCTCCGACCCCACTACCACCACCACCGCCATTGCCATCGCCGCCATGCTCTACTGGTATCGTCAACTGCATATGCACTGCATGTTTCAGAGTCTGAGAATAGAAGACGTAGAAGAAGAAAACGCTTACGCAGGGCGTCCTCTGCATGACCAGCGTGGGGTGTCACTTCCAGCTGCCATTCTGATTGCACTCGCTCTCTCTCTACCCCTCGCCAGCGCATCCTTCGACTCCGCTATTCCCACCCATTGCCTTGGTGCCTCCACTCTCAACGGATGTCGGGACACGACCCGCTGTGCATGCCATGCTCTGGATCCCATGGACCTTGCATCCAACGCTGACTCTCTCCAAGCCAATCAATGCCGTCCCCACACAAAGACGGTGGCTTGCCCAATATGACTACGCCCAACCATTGCACTCCACCACGGTACCACCGCAGCACCGACTAGCCATGCAACCATTTATCTTGCAGCAAGCCCACCGTCGACTTCTTTGCCGAGGCTTGCTTCTCGTGTTCACCCTATATTGCACACAACCCGACTGGACACTAACTTACTCCCTAAACAACTTGCCACCGATCACCGATAGACGACATGCTGCTTGATTAGACAAATGCCGCACTAAACAACTCGTGACATGTATCTCGTGGCACAAGCTCATTCACCAATACAAGACGACCCAACTATCGCCCTCAGCGCCAGAGAAGAAAAAGAAAAAGATAGAATCCCCAAAAAGCTCCATGAAGCGTCGTGGCTCTAACGAATAGTAACGTGTCACCCAATTGTAAAGCGTTGGAGGGGAAAGCTTCCGCACGGCACATGAATGGATATGATTTCCAAGTGTCAACACGGATAAATGATATCCACCAAAGCGGAGCCTTTGACTTTGATTGCAACCGTTTTGACACTGGGAGTTCGCTTTCCATGTCGTAGAAGTAATGCGGCCTTGGTTTTGGAAAGAGAGGGAGAGCGTCCGTCTTGAGCTCGTCTGAGCCTTTGCATTGTTAGTCATGTCTCAACATCTCAAGCAAAGCCACCCCGAACAATACAACTGCCCTAGAGCTTTGCTTTGCGTTTCCGCCAGTTGGACTCGTCGTACATCGTTCTTCAGTCGCCCAAATGACATACATAGAAGTGCCCTGGCGGTTTTGCTTGGTAGAGGAAGTAGCGAAACAATGCCTCCAGGCATCACCCGAGGCTTTATAGTTAGCCAAGACAACACAAGAAGCTTATTCTAGCTACCAACCATAATTCAATAAGAGATTAAGATCTTCTCTAATTCACACTACATCTCGGCAAGTGTACGGTAAGCTAGACGCACAACCATCAAGGTGTAAGTATTACGATGCTCGGTGATTTCAATTTAGTAAAGCCCCGCGCACATTCCTTTCGCAACCAGAGTCTAGCCTATAAGGTTCAAATAAAGCTTTATCACGGATCCATAGATACTATAAGAGAAGTGTAAGCAATAACAAGCTATGGTGTCGCAGTTGATAACGAGTTGTTTATAGATACGCCGATGCCCAGAACTCGAACCACCACGCGCAACGCATTCAAGAAGGTAAGCAGATTGGTGCAATCTCCAATTCTCAACCTTGCAAAACTCAGGCTATGCCATTATTCAACGATTGCATTCATGCTAACATAATCCCTAAACGACGAACTCTTCGTAGCTGGGTTGCACGACGAATCAAGTAGTAGACGCAGATTGCAGGATTTCACTGAACGTCTCTCTAAGCCAAGTGCTATCCAACACCATTGGCAAAGTGCTCCTCCGCACTGGATCAAGCTCTAGCATCGCAGCAATAACGATTCTCGCTTTCTCAAGCGGTATCTGGCACAGCAATCGATCCTCATCTTCACTCTCCCCACACACCCTCTGATCCCCAACTTCCTCCATATAAATACCGAACGCTTCATTTTCTTCCAGTCCTCCCAGTCTCATCTCTGGCTCCCAGGGATACACACCTAGCCACAACCTCACAAACACCACAGCAAGCGACCACACATCCGCCTTCTCCATATCAAAAAACTGCTCTCTATGCACTTCCGGGGCCATAGTAACCGGCGTCCCAATCCAATTCGCCCAGCTAGCGATTCGCGCGCCCGTAAGCAAATTCCGCGACGCAGCTGCGCTGCCAAAATCAATCACTTTGACCGTACCGTCCCGCGCCACCATGATATTTTCGACCTTGATGTCGCGGTGCGCAATCCCGCGTTCATGCATGTGTGCAACGGCGCCAACGACTTGCGTGAACAAACAGCTTATGGCTGAAAAGGACCATTGTCGCTCGGCCCATCTGTCGTAATCGAGAAGGTCTAGGAGGGCAAAGGGGATGTATTCCATTTCCAATTGCCAATAACGACTCATGCCGGACGAGACATAGTTTAACGAGTGCGTTGCTGCGATGTTAGGGTGGATGAGGGTGTGGCCGATCCAGTACTCGTGGTGGATCCGGTCTGGAGTTGTGGAGTCTGGGAAGAAGCGCTTCAGCACTGTTGCGGATGAGGTGGAGAAGAAGACTTGGCCATCTGTGCCCTCCCCGACTGTGTTGTTTTCTTGGAGATTGGGGGCTAGCTCTGGGTAGATGGTGTTTAGGTCAGCAAGACCGGGGTTGCATTGCCATGGGATGGAAGATGCTTGGGATTGTTTGAGGATTGAGAGGATGAGGATGGCGCTGAGTGGGATTGAGAGCATGATAGGAGAAAACAGAAGAAGCTGGGTTCGGAAGGAAGTAACGATAGCGAAAATGTACGTCGGTTTAGTGACTATTTCGAAGCTGGTCGCAGCTACGCTCTAAGGCGATTAGGAACTACTACTACTCCATTATGCATACCACAATTCGTCATGATGCTGAGCTTGCATCGACTACAGACTTCCATTTGCGAATCTCACACTATAACAGGGGTCTGTGAGGCTGATTCATAGTATCCTTGCATGGATCTAGGCGGAAAATAGAAAAAGCCACCCGCATTCAGACGCTTGAATAGTAAACACAAGCTTCACAGCACACAATAAGCTCACGCTACTCTGTGCTGACTAGGGATGCTGATGATTAGGTTGCGCTGTAACAACACCCCCTTGTAATCAGCTGGTTATCAGCTACTACTTACAGCTGGCATGATAGTTTCCAACCTATGGTGGGCCTCGCCGTTGAACCTGGTTAAATGTGCACGTCTATCAGAATCCTATTCCAACCACGTCGCCGTCCTCCGGCCCGAATACGATGCTGGAAGAGCTGAGCTTCAAATGGAGGTTCAGCTTATATTGCCGTCAAATTATCCTCAGAACTAAGCTTTTCAGGGTAGGAGAATGTGTGAGGCTGAGTGACAACCGTCAGCACGATATCTCGGAAGGATCGGGGCCCCCACCACCGTGCAACTGAGACTAGGCCTAAAGCGGGAATTTAGCATCGCGACATCATGAGATTGAAGGCCTAACCGGATATTGTCATCTCCGGAATCGCGCATACCGCCTGAAAACTAGCTATGCATATAGTTCACTGTAGTAATTATCCGCATTGAGAAGAGCTTATCAGCTACGCTAAGCGGTATAGGAAGCCACTCGTGTGTCGGTTTGTAGAGTGCTGCGTAGTCCTCTGTGATGGCTGGATTTACATGCTGTATGCAATCCAACGAATATCTCATAGGACTAGAGTATGGGAGCTGATAGAAGCACTGTCATAACATGTATCTTGCAAAAGCCCTTATCACGAAGTGAGCAGGAAGATCGAACATCTCAACCGATACAACGACACATATGCTTTCAGCATCAGCACGGATGTCGTCATCACCCTTGATCGAGTGTAGCTGGAAGTCGAGTAATCAGTTTCATCCGGAACGCTGTGCAGAATAGCCGATACGAAGGCACTCAGTCCAGACGCTAGAATAAGTAGCGTGCATGTTACCATCACGGTATCCAGCTCAAAATAGAATATAGGGAAAAGAGAAGTATATATTCAAGTCGAACACCCTGCCAGAAGACTCAAAACTCACAGCTCACTCCTCGCCTCATCTACCTCTTCTTCCATCTCGCTCAGTGTAACCTCACCAGCAACCATCTCCTCCACCTTCACCATGAAGTTCTCCAGCATTGTCTTCCTCCCACTTCTGGCCGGCGCGGTTTCGGCTGCTGCTATTCCAGCTCCTGCTGTCCTCGCCGAGGTCGCCGTCCGTGAGGCTAGCCCTCCCCACAAGACTGCACCTTTCAAGGAACGTGAGGCCAGTCCTCCTCACAAGACCGCACCTTTCAAGGAGCGCGAAGCAAGCCCACCCCACAAGACGGCACCATTCAAGCGCAGTCCTCCACACAAGACTGCCCCGTTTAAGAGGGACGCTGTGGAAGCTCCTTGGAAGCGTAGCCCACCCCACAAGACTGCTCCCTTCAAGCGGGAGGCTAGCCCCCCTCACAAAACTGCTCCTTTTAAGGAGCGCGAGGCTAGTCCCCCTCACAAGACTGCCCCCTTCAAGAGGGACCCCAGCCCTCCCCACAAGACCGCACCATTCAAGCGTGAGGACTAGGGTGGCTCACCTTACAAAACCGCTTCCTCTAGGCGCACTGCAGCTGCCGGAAAGCCACACAAGACTAACTCTTAGCCGAGTTCAAGATATCGTTTTCAGTTCAAGCTTCAAGATGTCAAGGAATAACTGGAGGGATAAAGGCTGAGGGGAGCTATTTTCATATCACATAGATGAGCAATGAAACATATATGGAGATCTTCCGAAGCGGAGTTTTGAATTAGTGATGTGACATAGTAGCTCCTATATATGACAACCACTTTGAATCGTATCACTGATACAACTGCGTTATATAACGCCTAGCCCAGATATCTCCACCAGCCGTAAGCTGTGCAATAACCGCGTAATGCAGCGCGAGAGCCAATCCATATTCGACTCCTGTTTGCTCACTCATAGCCCAGAACCCATTGAACGGACAAGCTCCATGCTCTCTCCCCAAAAGTGAGAGATATCATTGCCAAGTACTGTAAATAATGCGGTATGAAAATTTCACAGCGTCCGAAACTCTACACAGTAATGTCCCGTCCCATCAACCTCAACTGTCCAGTAATCTCTTCAGGGTTCTTATCACCGACTTCGCGCTGCAACATCGGCGTCCAGTCAAGCACCAGATTGCGCAGATAGTTCAGGGGAAACGGGACGTGATGAAAGAGTCTGCCGACGAAATACGCCGATTCGACCATGTGTGTGGTGTGTGCTAGCTGATATGCTTCATACCGCTCTAGCGCATTCGCAACCGCGTTTGTGTCGGAGAGGTCAATCTTGTATAGACTTTGCGCGATGAAATATCCGTCTGAGATGGACATCCCCGCACCGTAAGCTGCGTAGGGAGAGGTAGCGTGGGCTGCGTCTCCGGCAAGACTCATGCGGCCCTTGGACCATTTCTTGAGTGGGACTCTGTCGCGGATTGGCCACATGGTGACATCTTCCGCTGGGGTGCTGTCCACTAGTTCACTGAGGGGCCCCGGAAACCTTTTGGAAAGCATCCTAGCACGGCTTTTGAGGCTTTCTTCCACAGGTTTGTCGTCAGGCCATGACTCGACGAACCACCACTGGAGGCCTTTGCGGCCCTGGCTTAGAAGAGGTCCGTATGTGCCCTGGACTTGGGGGTCGTGGGTGATGACGCATTCGTTGGGGATGACACCATCGGCGGTGTCAAAGGTGAAGCCGCCGATAACGTGGAGGTCATGGTTTCTTCGCGGACTTTGACCCCATAAGTGAGTGCGGACGGAAGAGTCGATGCCATCGGCACCAATGACGACAGCTGCTTTGACGACAGTACCGTCTCCTAGCGTCATCCGAACACAATCGCCAGTGTCTTCGAATGAAGTCACTGATTTGTTGAACTCCATGACGCCCTCAGGGATAGCTGAGAGCATTCGCTTGTACAGATCCGGTCGCAGAAGCCCAAGAAAGCCGCCGTCATATTTCTCTACGACATCGTCCGCCAGCCGTACTGTAGCACGTACATGTCCACTGGGGTTCCGAAATGTGGTTGCAGGCGAGGCAGCTCCGAGATCCGTAGTATTCACGCCCATGCACTTGAGGGCGTGTATGGCCGGTGGCCATAGGTTGAGAATGTTGCCTGCTGGTCTGGCATAGGGATATCGTTCATACACCTTGACATCGATGCCGGCTTTGATGCATCCGAGTGCTATTGCCATACCAGCAGGCCCGCCACCAATCACCACGACTCCGACGTCGAATTTGGCGTCTCGTGCCATCAGTCCAACACAGTAATGGTGAATGGAAAGATTGCTGGAATATTGGTATGAAATCGATAAGGGCAGACACCCGGGAGGATCAAAAGAATAATACAAACGATGGTAAGACCAAGAGATTTATACAGTCTTTATAATAAAGACTGCTTCTTGTCATACTAAATCATACTAAGCTGCACCATCTCTCCTCTTTCCGAAGGATCAGGATCGGGATGTGGCGACCCCATTCCCCAGCCCATGAATCTCCAACAAGCGACCCCGCATTCTTCCAGGTAGCTCAGCCTCTCCTGCATTGCCGAGCCCAGATAAGACGCGTAGCCAACATGCGCGTTATGCGATGCCAATGGGCTGAGAAGCTAACGAGTTGCCGATGCATGACTAGGGTGGGGTTGGATTGGTCGCTCAAAAAGATCCCGAGCTGACGCATTCACGCTGGTTGCCACCCCATTCCAGTCTTCGATAGATCAGTAAGATTCTCGGCATTAGAGGCTCCAGCTCTCCACATTCCGACGTGCAACAAGGTAATCACAGTGGCGTTTGAACTAGGAGACGGTGTCTAAGCTAGCAACAGTATCAGGATTGGAGTTTGAATTCCGCAGCCACGTGACTCGATAGGCAGCGCCGGTAATCGTATTTCTGTAACATATGTCAGAAGCATGCTACCGGCGAGCCCACAAATATGCTTTTTTGATTCTTTAGTACAAGAAAAACTGGTGCACACTGTTCTTTTGTCTTGCGATCATGCGGTATTGAACGGTTAGTTCTAACGTCCAGCATGGGGAACAATGCACCTCGATGCAGAGGTTCCGGTCGGCATCTTTCTTAGTTAGACCCGGGTTAATTAACTCCAGCCCAGAAAGCATTCATCGTGCATGCGCACAGATATGACCCCTCACACTAACCCTGTCGTGAGCGGAACCCGATGCAGAATTCAATAGCGCGTTTGAATGACTACACGAGGTCTCATAGCTGTATTTGGGGCTCATTGTCCCGGCCGTCTAAGAGCTGAGAGAAGTTGGCCCAATTCCATCCGAGCTCATCCATAATCATCGGAGAGCTATCTTCAATCCACCAGTCTGAACAGGCCAAATCGTTGTGACTGTCAAGGTTACTCATCTGCCCGGTTGGAATTGCACTAAAAGTCTCTCCACTGCCATGAGCCAGTGAGGAGCCATGCTCTGGAGCTTGCCACAGGGGATTCCATGCTGAAATTGGAATCTGTTCTCTATTGGTGAGCTCTGGTGGAAGTGCAGAGCTTTCAGCTTCTGGTCGCTGCGATGGTCTTGGTCGATTATGCCTGTGAGATCCTGTAGCCGCTGTTACAAACGAGTTTAGTTTGTTGAGAGCAAATTCGAGCTCTCTGTTCACTCTGCCCAAGGTGTTTGCATCCTTGACTGCAAGCGCTGCAGCTTTTAAAAGCTCGCGGTCCATGGTTGTCATCCTTGAGTTTTGCCGCGTCACCACGAACACAGTCAGAGCGCCCATAGCATGCAATGGACCAGCAAGGCTCGGGAGTACAGGATATGTTTGATTCTCCGATGATTCCAGGAATAGACGCAAGATCTTGCGCGCTGAATTAGCGGCTAAGCTCTGCCCATTCCGCACGGCATACTCCCATGGTTCGTCCTTTGCAATGACATCGACAGAAAGGCGAATGGCCCTCTCGCTTATGAGAAGACTATTGCGGGTTAAAATGATCATGCTTTCGGTCAAAGCCAATGTCAGCATCATATGGTCTTTTATTCAAAATCTTTGCTACTGAGAAAGGTGGTATGTACGTACGCTATGTGATATTGCATTGCAATGAACGATGCAAACGGATGTGTTCTGGAATTGAACAATATATCCATAATCGGGCTGTTTATACACGCATGACGCATTAGCTTCAAATCTAAACCTTACAGCCGCAGTATTGTGGCGGTTATGAGCATTGTGATGGGTGCAAATGCAAAAGAAGGGGGCCTAGAACTTACCTGTAAGAAGACGGGCAAACATCCGATGCCCAACTCATCAACCTCACACAGGACAGACCTATTGTCCGGACCTTTTCTCTTATTAGGTCTGTTACATTTTCATCATTTTTGTCGTCCTCCTTCCGGCTAACCTGGATGCATAGTCTGCCCACATCGCTTAGTACCATAGCCAGACTCAGAACGATATCGCAGATGGGATGCTGTAGCCGCTGCTGCGACTGATTTGTCGAATCACTATTTTCCATTCCATGCTCCCTGTCCCTTAGTAGACTGGAGTCAGGTAGCAAGTCCGGATAATCATCTACAATGAGTGACGCTCTGCCGAGTTCAAAAGAGAGAAATTTCTCAAATGAGAACACACTCATCCATACATTCCGTCTTTCTTCTCCAAGCAGCAAGTAAGGTGATTGTTTCGGCAAGCCTAGCGAGACAGCCATGGAAACAGCTAGGCTCATTGTATGTCCCGCTGCAGCCAGATTCTCATGACATCGTAGCGCCATGGACAATAGAGTGACAGATCGAAGGGCATCAACCGTGCTTTGTTGTATTATCAAGCCAAGAAGGCTTTGCGAATACTCTAGACACCCCTCAGCATCAAAGCCAAGATCTCGGTTAGGCTTTGAGCTATGACCGAGTATCATGACGAGATACACCTGCATTAGCACTGCGAGCCCGTACTGTCGTGTGAAAGACTTGGGACCATTTGCGTATGCCATATGAGCTGCATGTCTGATTTTGTCTGGCTGGAGGACAGGAAATACGATGTTTGGGCCCTCGAGAAACCAGTCAACCAAGGTTGATGATGCTTCCTGTTCTGGGAAATCCCAAGTTCCCAGAAAACCTGGCAAGACCGAGTCTTCTTGTGTAGCCCCGCCATCATTAGCTGGGTCGCTGTCGGGCTGTTCTGCTTGACGAGGACCTGATCGAGGGATCTGGAGACGATGACGTGCGAGATCTAGCCAGCTGGTCATGAAGTCGAGAGACGTGTTCCCGGAGTCAGCGTGTATGATAGGCAAACGAGGTCTGAGCTCAGGTCTATCATCATCACCCTGTGTGATACTAGAGCGGTGGGTTGATGTACCTTGAGCTTGACGTCCGGGATCGCTGCAAGGCGGATTCGAGATACTGGCGGCGTTACTCTCTGCTTGTAGCGGACCCTGGGTACTAGATAAAGTATTATTTTCTTTAGCAGTCGTTCTCTCATTTTCATGATCTTGTTGTCGCCGACTTCGGCGAGAAGCGGATACACTTCTCCTATTTTCATGAGTTGGTAATGTTGATGACGCGACTACACCTCTCGAAATTGAATTGGAATCAATTCGATCTTGTCTCGCCGTCTCTCCTATCTCACTACGATGCTGCGATTTACCAGCTTCATGCCGCCGAGCATCAAGCCATGGTTGACGGCGGTTTCTGGTGACGCATTGAATTCCGGCGGCTGAGCAAGCATGGCACGACGGCTGGCCCTCATCGCAGCGAGTTTTACGCGAGCGACAATAATCACAGGCGAAGTTGATGCGACGTCGTTTCGATGACGGTCCTGGGTTGTCGCCGCTGGTGCTGTAAGTTGAGGTCGAGGGCGATGGTGTTAAAAGATGGGAGCCAGTCACCATGGTCGCGACTGTCGCGGCTGGCTCGTTGTGGGCTGCGCTATGCGATCGCATTGCCGATGAGGGCATGGTGATACCGAACCGAGTGACAGTCAATGATGCCGATGATGCAGAAGACAATGTTGGGAGGTGATATGTCAGTGGGTACCTCGGCTCGGCAAGTAAAAATGACTCGTCACACAATGTAGTTCGCAGGTTGAAAGGCGGGGAAGCCAGACACGTAACAGACTAACGCTGACAGATAAAACACTTGCCGGGTCTGGAGCGCTTGACAAGACCTCAATATTATGATCCTCCAGGTTTTTCCCCACACCCCAGATTCAATCTGATTCAGATACAGCCAGCTCTAGCTAGCTCTGGCTTAGTTCACCGTGATGTGGAGGCAGTGTTGATTGCAATCTGTGTACAAAAGCTCCAAGTTGTTATACGTATCTGAGATGGACGTCTTTTGGACCAAAAGCAGCCTGGCCAATCGTCGACACCACACCGATTCGACGAAGACAGGTCGTCTGCACCACTTCAAGAAGGGTGCTTCGAAGTCATTTATTATCTATCTGTCACTTGGTTCTTTATTGTGCCTCCGAGGGCTATCACAGCTTCCCTAATACCTTATATCGAGGAAAGGAGCGCGATCATGAGTAGATTGGAGGACGTGGAGTCGAAGACTCAGGTTGAGTTCGTGGAGAGTTTGAGCGACAAACCTGGTGACCCGGCCACTACTGATTATGGGACTATTAATCTTTTTCAAGATGGATCTATTGTTCTTGTCCCTACCCCGAGCAGTGATCCCAAAGGTAAGTTTAGAGTGCCTAATCTGATTTACCATCTTGCGCGCTCAACCTAGCAAGTCGTGCTCCTACAAGGTCGTTCGGTTAATCCTCTCAAGTTCACGCTGACATTCCATTCTCGCTATAGATCCCCTGAATCTACCGACTTGGCACAAGTACCTGATAATTTTCCTTGTCGGAGTATACAGCGCTATTGCTGTCCTAGGAACCTCTGGTCTTGGTGCTGTTATGCCCTCAGTCATGAAGGCCTACCCCAACGATGATCCGGCCCGCGTAACCGATCTCGTGACCTATCCAACTCTCTTCATGGGTATCGGTAACCTTATATCCATGCCTCTAACGCTGACAATTGGTCGCCGGCCTGTCTTCCTTTTTTCCCTGCTCCTTCTTATCATCACTGGCTTTTGGTGCGCTTATTCCACCAGCCTCACCAGTCACATTGCTGGCCGGAACCTCTTCAGCATGGCGGCAGGCCAAAGTGAAGCTCTTGCGCCTTTTATCGTCGAAGAAATTCATTTTCTCCATGAGAGGAGTAGCAAGCTGTCGTGGTTCATTGGCGTCCAAACTGTCGGTACCGCCGTCTTGTTTGTTATGACAACATACGTTGTCCCGCCTTTTGGCTTGAAGTGGTGGTATCTCATCATCACTTTCTTGGTCATCGCTACACTCATCCTTTCCATCTTCTTCGTGGTTGAGACCATGTACGAACGCAAAGTAGATGAGCATGACGGCGCTCCAACCGATGAGAAGCCCATGGCTGGCAAGAGACGCGAACTTCGACCAGATATCTACGGCCCACGCTCTCTACGTCACAACTTGAAAGTTTTCCACCACAAACCAATCTGGTCCCGAGTGACTGACTTCTACATTGACACTGGAAAGGGCTTTTTTATCCCTACCATATTCTGGATTCTGCTCTTCAACGGTGCTTTCTTGGGCGTCTACATCTACCAGGCTTCTACGTTTGCTGTCATTCTCACACAACCGCCGTACAAGTTTGCCTTTGACGTGCTCGGATGGGTTCAGATCTTCCAAATTGCGGTTGTCATGGTTTTAATCCCACTCTTGGGCTATGGCACTGACCGCTTCTCCAAATGGATGAGTAAGAGAAGCGGCGGCATCTTCAAGGTATGTCCGGCTCCCTATGCCTTGTTCCTGTAACCTTCCCGCTTGTGTTGACGAATTTTCGCTAACATTTTGGGTCCTTGTGCCTTGTTAGCCCGAGTTCCGACTTCTATCTCTTATATTTCCAACTGTAGCAACAGTGTTGGGCTGTGTCATCTATGGCCAGGCTGGTGCTCATCCTTTCCAGTACCACTGGATGGGAATTGCAGCCCCCTTTCACATGTGTTATCTGGGTTTCTTGACTGCTAACCTGATTGGTATCACCTATGCGGTCGATGCTTTCCCCCAAAAGGCGGGTGCCTTGCTAATGGTTATCTGCGTCGGTCGAGGGTTCATCTCTTTTGGTCTGAGTTACTCTACTGTTCCAGCCATCAAGGCCACTGGCTATGATGGCGCCATGAATATTTTAGCTGGTATCATCGGCGGTCTCATGGCTCTAGGTATACCGATTTACTTTTTGGGCCCTCGCATTCGCAAGTGGGCTGTCAGAACCTTGTGGCCAGGGCTTACTGAAGCGAAGTAGGGTGGTTCGCTCATCTAATTCGAAGAATCTAGATAGCTTAGCAGTTGCTTGAAATAGCACAATTATCCATATGGTCCTTTCCTTGTCCAGCTCTTCTTCCAGTCCTCATGTATAGGAAAGACTCAGCCTGGGCCAGGTTTATTCCTGTAAATATGCCATTTCCACGCCCCATAGTATAAGGTTGATTATTTAATCACGTAACTGAGTCGCTTTTGAATGTCAAATATATGCTCTATCCGTGAGAATGAGATTGAATAAAAAAAACTCGACTTCTCACTTGTTAACGTGTTGTACGAAAATGACGAGAGCAGGTTAATAGATGCTTTTACCAAGGAACATATGCCTGTATGTAAAAGGAAAGATAGTTATACAAAAGTAGCTTTAATATTTCTTCAAACCTTCCACATTGATGTGAAAGCAGTTTTCCCTGCAAGGATGACTACTAGATTTACAATATCGAATCAAAAGACATAAATACTCGACCAGTCGAACTTTGTTAATAGTTGTCATTAATTGGCCATGTGGCTGATAGGTAGTCTAAAAGTTAAAAATGCATCATAAAAGCGTCGCTTGGACCCAACCCCCTCTTCGAGATCAAGCTGACAATGTCCCGATATATGGAATTCCTGTCAATTCAAATCCTCGCTTTGACAACTCTACAGGCTTCCTCGGCTTACCCGTGTTATAGGGACAGGGTTCATTATTACGGATGATAGGTAACCCACCTACGTGCATAGCATTGGGCCAGTGAGTGGTGCTCTGAGTTGTGTAGAACGCGTCCTTCTTCCGCAACAGGTCCTCTTCCGAAGCTTCGGCGACTGGCATATAACATGTGTATATGCAGAAACGCGGCTTGTCGCCTGTTGGGCTAAGGTTGTAGTGAGGTGTGCGGCTGTCCCAGAGGAGAAGGTCACCAGGTTCGGCGTTGAGTTTCACCCACTCGCAGCCCTTGTCTTCCAACCATTTCATGCCTTCCTTGGTGAAGCCGTACCATTCTTTGGTCCACGCCCAGATCTTGTTGGGCTCATCCTTGAACTCCTCATGAAATTTCTCGCTAAGAAGATGAGCGCCCTTGCAAACAATGAGGCCGCCATCGTTGTCCCCATTGGGGAGCAAATTTACAAGCCCTTGCAAGCATCGGAAACCGGGCTTTTCCGGATCTTGATCCTGGTGTGGCCAGGGATTGTTTTCCTTGAGGTCTTTGCGGTTGGGGAATGCCATGTTTGTTCCGTCAAAAGAAACGATAAGGTCCTTTGTATCATACGCCTTCTCAAAGGCTCCAACAACTCCCGGCTCCTGGCGCACCGACCACGCGAAGGTTTCGTGTGCAGTACCGTATCCAAGACACATGCCCTTCTCGTTGATTATGGGCATCTTTGATTCCACAACGGTCGATGGGTCATCGCGTTTGAACCCCAACCCGCCAGCACTAACAAACAACGTGCGATTAGCTTATGCATATATTCAACATGGGCCTGCTTTGCGCATGGACTCCCAAGTGCTGGTTTACTTACAAGTTTTCAAGCCAGGACATCATCTCGTCAGCATAGCCATCCGCGCGATCACGAGGGATGGCACCTTTGACTACGACGTATCCATCTCGAATGATATCGTCACGCCAATCACCATACACCAGCCCCTCTTGACGGAACAGTCTTTTTGGACCGGATGGCCGAGGTTTGAATTTGGGCACCTCAACCGGCGCTTCTGACACTGTAGTTTGAACAGTAGTGGACATGATGTCGATGTCGGAAAGTAAAAATGATAGGAACGAAACTAGTTTGTATTCTGTTGAAAGAGTGGTACAATGTCTCTGTACTTTTACTGTCTCCTATGACAACCTTCGCCTTTTCGTCTTATATGGTCATTTTTAGCAGCTTCTTGTTTCAGTCTAGGTCTGCAGGTGACAAGAACGTGATGACCGACAGTTACCCCTCACAGTTGAGGAACAGTGATCGGTTCGGTTCGGTTCGGGATACCATTTGCGAATAATTTCCGCTAGCCAGAAGTGGAAGGATGTGGGGTAAAGAGAGTTGCCGATGGCGGGGACCCCTGCATCAGAGTATTCGCTCGCTCATCAGAATTAGTTTCTCCCACACCATTGTCAAGGTCAGAATCCAGGCGTGATAACTGGATGTTCGGATAGCGTGGAGTTCTTTCGGAGGCACATGTGGAGGTTAGTCCCGGTCGGACTTGACACCTCACTCCACATCCCGATTTGAGTATCCATTGGTCTTTCGAGACAGTATACTCTTAATGAGTGGGATACGTCTTCTTTATCTGATATTTCCTTTCTGAATCTCCTCTCTCTGTCTCCAGTCCAGTCTTTAGGCATCCAACACGATGCTTGTTAACCAGAATAAGTCCAGCTCAAATTTTGGAGTCGAGATTCCTATTGAACCTCTAACACCAGCCCAAGTTGGTGAGGGTGGTTATGAGGGTCTAAAACCGCGCAAAGAAGTGCTTCCTAAGGGCTGGCGACATCCTTCACATCCTGGAGCGAAGGCTTTGCCGTGCGATATCCTCGTGGAACATGATGTGGCCATCCCTGCAAGAGATGGCGTTACGCTTTACACGGATATTCTAAGGCCAACGGAGCCTGAATCTGGCGTCGCTCCCAAAGTCCCAGCACTCATTTGCTGGGGACCGTTCGGCAAGAAGTTCAACGGCATCGACTCTTTGCGATACATGACGCCGTGGAATCTTGGTGTTCCCGCAGACGCTCTTTCCGGCTTGGAGAAGTTTGAAGCTCCGGATCCAGCAGACTGGGTACCCAAAGGATACGCCATTGTCAATATTGATTCGAGAGGTGCTGGTGATAGCGGTGGTACCATGGTTATCATGGGCCAACAGGAAGCCGAGGACGGTTACGACGCGATCGAGCACATTGCGAAATTGCCATGGTGCGATGGCTCGGTCGGTCTCGTTGGAAACTCCCACTTAGCAATTGTGCAATGGTTCATCGCTGCCCTGCGCCCACCGAGTCTAAAGGCTATTGCGCCATGGGAAGGCTGTGGTGATCTGTACCGCGAGCAATTTGCACGTGGTGGAATATACGCCGGAGACCTCTTCGACCAGCTCATTGTCAAACACATGCTACATGGGCACGGTAATCTGGAGAGCTTCCGATTGATGTTCGAAAAGCACCCATTGGCCAATCGTTGGTGGAACGACAAGAGGCCCGATATGAAGAAGATCAACGTACCAACATACATTACTGGCACCTGGACCAACACAATGCACGGAATGGGCGCTATCAGAGGATGGCTCGAGGTGGACACTCCGCAGAAATGGCTTAGATGGCACCCATGGCAGGAATGGTACGACCTATGGGGAAATAACCAGGCCAAAGAAGAGCTCTTTTCCTTTTTCGATCATTTCCTCAAGGGTGCTGACAATGGCTGGGAAAAGACCCCGCGAGTCCGAATGGCTGTCTTGCGCTTTGGAAACAAGGAGCCCCAGTCATATGAGAATATCGTCGAAAAAGAATTCCCGCCTGCCAGAACCGAATACCGCGAAGCTTACCTTGGTCAAGACCAGAAGCTGCTCTTTGGCGATGCAGGCTCAAGCGCTACGTTGAGCTACAACTCCGAAACAGATGATTGCGTCACCTTCACCCATACTTTTCCGGAAACAACCCGAATCATGGGCCTTCCAAAGGCCGTTTTGTACATGTCTTGCCCGGATCATGACGACATGGATGTCTACGTTACTCTCGAAAAGCTGGACAAGAACGGAGATCAGATGATGAACCTCAACATCCCTTGGGGTGGCATTCCAGTAAAATCATTCGGCGAGTTCAAGCCGCAGGAAGCTACAGAGGTGGTGGTGTACAAAGGTCCATGCGGCATCTTGAGAGCATCGCATCGCGCAATCGACGAGTCAAAAAGCATGCACCCGCACTGGCCGTTCCATCCTCACGAGGTAGAAGAAAAGATAACTCCCGGTGACATCGTCCGTTTGGACATTGGCATATGGGCTATGGGCATTGAATTCGAAGCTGGGGAGAGTATCAGAGTCGTCGTGGGTGGACGCAATAGGTGCGTGAGCAACTTCGGGTCGCATAAACATGTCAAGAATCGCGGAAAACATCAGGTCCACGTCGGTGATGAGCATAAAAGCCATATCGTGCTACCATTTGTGTAAATTATAGCTAGTCATGTATAAGAAATACACACCGAGATCTTCTTTCTCTACCTTTACGAAACTCTTCATAACTTTGCTCCAACATTGGATCGAGCCATCTCGTGCGGCGCGTTCACGCTCATGATGCTGAATGAGCTACTGTTGCCGACATATAGTTGGGTGGGCCTGATGCTTTACTAAATTGGTAGTCTGGTCATCGGTCACGAGGGGGGAGGTAGATTGCCCTTCTCCCCTCCTGTTTCTCTAAGTTAGATTGACTAGTGCTGCATCTGAGTGTGTGATCTTTCTACATTGCTCGCGAATAATACTAGACAGATTAATTACATTGACTTCCTACGTCGTCCAACCTTAGCGGTGCCTCTCCCCTATCTCTCCTTCGCGCATTCGTCATCAAAATTATCTTACTATCCACGCAAAACCACCAGTTGCGATAGAACGTGTCACCTATTTCCCAGCTTTCCTCGGCCATCTCATGGTGCGCGGACCAGCCTGCAGTGTTACCGTGGACGCGAAACCCGGAAGTATAGTCATCAATGTCGTGGATAATGCGTTGGATGGGTTCGCCGCGGGTACCGCGGGCGATTGGAGGGCGTTGGGAGGAGGGGAGGTGGACTGGGGGTATTAGGCGTCAGGTTTCATGCATCAGGCGTTAAGCGGAGAGAAAGGGGGAGGATGGAAGAGCAGGAAGGGGAAATGGCACTCACGCATGCAAATCAGCTTCTCACGTATAGAGAGCCAGGGAAGAATGTCCAGGGCTGGGTGGTGCGGGATCAGAATCTGCGCGGGGACGGGGTGGAGATTGAGCGGGAGGGACGGATGCGGGGTAGGCGGTGATGTGTGCAGTGCGAATAAATTAAAGATATCTAGAACGATGTCGAGGAAAGAAGCAATTAACATAAAGGCTCAAATGGTAGCCATTATGGGTACGTCGATGTTTACGTCTGGGGTTAGTGGGAAGGTGAAGGGTGAGGGTTGGGAATCGGGGCCTGCGAAGGTGTTGGAGGACGCAGGAGTATTGGTAATCGGTAATGGACTTGTAGTCAGGTTGTCTGGAATTATGGATACAGAGAGGGACGTTTGTTGGTTTTGGATATCTTGAAGGTAGTCAGTAGTGAATGATATTGATGTGATCGAAGTTAGGTATACGAGCCTACCAAAGTCGCCAGATAGGGAAAAGTCAACATCAACGGCATCGAACGCTGAAACAGCACCATCAAAAGAGGAAACATTGTGCTCTTCGACATTTAAAATATCCTTAGGGCTGACAGTCGAGAGTCCAGAGTTAGCTGCAGTCTCCAGAGACGGTGCGACATCCAGCTCAATGTGAGACTGGCTGCCATTCTGCTCGTTTACTCGGGCCTCCAAGGAAGCAATCTTATCCCGGCGCCTTTGGCCTACAACTAAAAGTCAGCATGTATTCGGATGGCTAGCATGAAATTAGGGGATCTTACGATATCTTCGTTGCGCAAGTACATTAAGGGCTCGTTTCCGGTCTTTCCTCCCACTAGTGTTAGCACATGTTCGCAGTCTATTGCAGGCCGACGAATACGATTATTTCAGATCCACGTTAGCACATCAGTATCTACCCATTTTCTTTGTCCACTCATTGAGAGCCCATAAATTGGATGTATAAGCTCAGCTACCTACCCGGGTCACCACGCTCCGGCACTATCGCTAGGGCCTCAGTCTTCCTCCTCTTCTCTGCAGGCATGACGGCTGACGTTATCTCTCAGTACTGCTAATACCAGGCAAGTCGCTGAAAACTTTTGAATAACGGGATGTCTGGGTTGGACACGTGAGAGGTTATCTCGTTGGCGGGGCTGCGAGCATAACGTTATGCTGCAAAGGCACTAAGCCGGTTTTGGGTCAACCATCTCGCCTGCCGCCCGGAATATGAGGCTGCAGCCAGTAAGGTTGGACAGATAGTGAGCCTAAGAAGATAACAGTAAGGCGCTGAGTTTACGCTATACTGTGTGATGTTTGGAAGAAAATCGGGTGTCATTTGCGAGGAATGCGAGTTGAGCCGACCTGTGGGTGCACCATAGATTGCGATCATCTCGTACGTACCTAATAGACTTCTCGGCGCTTGAGGTGCCGGATGCCGAAACGCCGCGGACCGTAGAACGCCGGACTACGTCTACGCCAGTAAATGAGTACTCTCTTCTATAAAGCGATACATACTAATAGTATAAGTAACTCAAATTAGTAGCTTTTGTACTGTATATGTTGAGAATATCTTACCTCTATAATTAAATGATGAAAGCTGAATTATCTAAAAGAAGCTTTATCTTTTACATATAGTAATGTAATATTTGAACGAATAGGTATTATGTACAGATGGACTGAGTGAGAACCTTATGTTGACTTAGTCCAAGAAATGGCCAGGATCATTGGTGAAGGACATAATCACGATCGTAGGCTTATTATTTCTGCCACGATGTTTTATGCAGGACCTAACAACGCTAAAGTAGCCATAAAGATATTAAAGGTGATCCAAAGGCCACAAACATATCCTACGATCTATATATCATTTCTACTCTTATTTCTTTTTACATACTCCCCCATCTAGTTCCACAATCATTTCTAATAGTACCTTGATAATATAAGATAAATTCTCTTAGATAGAATTTGTGACTTTGATGTATTTCACTCATCTTGTAACAATACTAGATATTGATAGACTATTACGATAAAAAAATGATAATAATGGCTTTCCTTCAGAGCTGTATAGCACTCGATTTGTGTTGGTATTGTGAGGGCAAGTCCGGCGTTCTGCTGTCCGCGGGGTTCTAGCGTACGGCACCCCTACTAGGACAGCTCGGTGCTAGTTTCGGAATCACATAACCTCATCATCTTGAATAACGTAAAGCGCCCCAAGTTTATTAAAGCACCCCAAGTTTATCAAAGCGCAGCTGCCTCTGCACTGTTGCCGAATCACAATATCTCATCTACCTTTTCAACATTCAGTCATCAACCTGAATTTTGGTAAGGGATTCAATACATGACTAGCTGATTCTTGATTTAAAGCGAGAAACTGAATCATGCCTTCGTCTATCCATAATCAAAATGAGCCACTCCTTCCTGCGAAACTCGCGAACGAGCCTGAACCCATAAACTCAATATCCAATATAGCCATCAAAGCTATTGCAGCCCTGCGTGTTGGGCTTGGAATCACTTGCTTAGTTTCGCCACACTTCGGCTGTTCACTATGTACGTTAATCATGCCTTCCATGATGACCTTTTGAGTTGAAAACTGATCTGTGCTGCGATCAGTCGAGATGGATGTGCCCGCAGCTTATGATGCGTTGCCCCGAATGTTCGGTGGTAGGGATCTCGTGCTAGGAGTATTGCTCTTGACTGCTGGAGACAATCATCTGCCAGATGGTGGCAGACACGAGATCAAAAGGGCCTTATGGGCTGGTGTAGCAGCGGACGTAGTCGATATGAGCAGTGGCCTCATTGGATTGGCGACCGGTACGTCGAGTAGCGCTTCTGCTGCGTTCTTGGTATTCGGCGCTAGTGCAGCCGTAACCATAGGAGCTGTGGGTTTGCGTGGCCTTTAGGGGTGGAAATCTCGCGAAATGTCGGAGAAAGGGGATTTCTCCGAATTTGTAGCATGGAAAGAGAATCAAAAACCTATCGAACATGGTGTTATGTCCCAGATGCGTTATGCTAAGTACTTAGTCCATGCGAGAGAGACACAAACAGCGTTGAGATCATATCTGCGTGAAAAGAGTGAGATTTATTTCACGGCAGCGACTACGCACATATGTTGATGATATTTCGTGGGAGATGGGAGAAATCAACCGTTGATAGAATTGGGTAATGCTCCGGATTGAGTCTTGATACGATCGATGTGTGGATATGAGAATTACAGGGAGTGAAAAGGCCACTCGGGTCGCGCAACCACATTTGTTGGAAGCAGTGGCTGCTGCGATCGATCAGCTATCCTTATCCTTTGCGTAGCTGCGGTAAGCTTACATAACCTCAATAAGGCGACCGGTGTTGCTGTCGACTGAATATAAGCCCGCTGTGCTTCCTTATCACCGTCCTACCAATTACATACTCAGCGCTTGCACGAAGTGGCGAAACATTTGCACCCAAACATTGGCATACCCTTTCTTCAAAACCCTCGAATTCTACCTGTAGAATGTATGTCGTAAACAGCACGGGAAGTTGCAGCATCTCTGCCCAAACCCCTGCTGTATCATGCGGAGTGCTTGCTCACAAACGCTTACTGTGGTCCTGTGGGCTGGTAGCACAGTACCTGTGGCGACACAAATGGGCAGATGGAAAATCACATATGCAGATACCTGGAGTGAAAAGCGATACGAGCATACGGTGATGTCGCAATAGACTAGAGATCAGTAGTAAAGTGCACGACCGCAGCACGAATGTAGGATGTCCAACTGATAATCTACATTTTCCTTTAATCTCAAGGTTCGTGCCAGAAAGGACGCCAATGTTGCATCTGTCTGAGTGCAACATGCCACCATCCAGGTTCATATTTTACTACAGGGAAAAGATTGTTCATCCAAACTTGCTTCAATCATTTCTAGCGCCTAGCATTATCTCAATATGATATGACCTCCTTGGCTGGTTGGATCGTGAAACATTAGTCTGCGATGTGTCACCGATACATGTACATTCAACGCGGTGCACATATGTAACTGGCAGAAGTACATGTAAGTAACATTCTACTGAATACAGCAACTGGTTAAGCTTCCCCTAAGTCTTCACGTCCAGTAGCGGGTCGCACAGCTCAAATATACGTATATGAATGCCATATCACGAGATAGTATTCAGTGCCTGTTAGGCCTAATCAATGGCACCAAACAGCGGATAATTCCTCGGGTAGCCGCCCAACACTATGCACACCGCACTTTTGTTGCCTATGGCACATTGATCTGCAGCATTATGGCGATTAAAGTGTTGTGGTTGGTCCATGGGGTTGTGCAAAGCTTGTGAGTATACCGCGATGGCATAACACCGCTGAACATAGCGCAGATTATAGATAGGACACTGACTGCCTACCACAGCAACATGTCAAGTCTTTGCATAACTACCTAGTATGAAAAACCATAAAATGTTCATGTAAAAAACAGGAAATCCGGCCCAGTAGCTCAGCCTGATGCCGATTTCCCCATATCCTCTTGTTGGAGGTGACAGCTCCTAGTAGTAGTAGTCCACATAACGTACAACTTGCTTCCATACGGACGTGCAGTGTATTGTTGGTCCGTTGAACTTGATTCTTTAATAGTAAATTCTATACACTTGCAAATGCTTCTAGATCCTGATAACGCTGGATTTCCTCACAAGTCCGGACAGCTAAAGGGAAGATGGCTTCGAATACAAATTTCAACATGTGCGCAGAGCACCTGGTACTCTTGTGATACAATCTACACCCTTGTTTATGATGTTAATCCCTGAGCAAGATACCTTCTGTTGTCTCACTTCCCTTTTCCCGTGTTGCCTTGTCAATTGCGCACTGTCCGAGGGTAGTTAGTTCTTCGACTAGCTCATCTACAGCTTGGATCTGGCGAGCTGCCTTTTCCATCCAGCGACTTCTTGGAATTCTTCGAATCATGAGTGGAACGTTCTTTAACAGCTCAAGATCTTTGTGCGATTGCGGCGCGAGAGGTCGGTGGAGAATGCCGTAGAAGAGAGTGAGCAGGGCCGACATCGGGTAGTAGAGGATCATCCTAGAAGACGCACTGTATCAGTGGGTGTTTCATTTCAAAATGTTACGATCTACTAAGAGAGGTCGAAAAACGGACTAAATGGGGAGGGCATTGATAAGTGTACGTACCAGAAGCTGTTCTCATCGAGGAGATGGCTTGCCATTTGGAGATAGACCAACGAGGACCGACTAGCCTCGATGCTCAACTCTAGACTGCTCCCTACGCCCTCCATCTCATCCTGGTTTCCAGAAGTCCAAGCCTGGCATCTACTTGTTGCCTGATGAATTGCAGCAACGCAATGATTATAGTCTAGATGCAGCATCATCGAAGGCATAGCTAACACGTCCTCTGGTAATGTCGCACGCGCAAATGCAACAGTGGGCCTATATGGAAGGGGAACAGATAGCCTCCAGCATTCGAGATCATCGTCTAACTCACGAATGTCTCTCAAAATCTCCGCATCCGTTTTCCTCAACGCGCGAGCTGAGTACAGAGCGCTGTAGGCCTTTGACTTGATGATGCTCAACCATGGGGAACCTGGGAAGGGGTGTACGGTATCGAAGTCCGTTCCGGCCCCAAAGCCTATCATTTGCGAAAAGATCCGCCGAGTGTAGGTTGGTGGAGGGGTGGTATCACAATGCTCGTCTTGCAAACACGGCGGCTGTCCAGTTCGGAGTGATAATTCTTTGTCCATAATGTAAACCAACCAGAAAATGTTCCGCAATAGATATCGATAGCGATATGAAGAATTCGCAGATACGATGTTCACATCTTCACACGAAGGATAGGTCGTGGTATGTGCACCGAGCATGTATATGATTCGAGTAGCGACCGAATCTTGAATAAGAGCATTGGCAAGGTCGCCAGAAAAGAGATGGTACATCATCTTAACTAATTATCAGCCAATGTACGACGCGACGGACTCAAAAGGACACTAGACATACCAGCATACACGACGTTTGCAACGTTTCCACTGTCACAGGTCGCATGTACGTCGTCAGTATCCGATGCGCCGTCCACGAATATTTCTCCGCATTGGATGCTATCTTTATCGATTTGCAGACGTTAAAGAAAGACACGAATGCAAGAAAACCAAATATACAAGCCTGTGCATTAGAAATGTCGCCGACTGGGTCGCTTGATGTTGATGAGTATACCACAGAAATTGCAGTCTGAAGTCGAACAGGGTCAACAAGGGGGAAGACGCGGCAGAGGAATGACTCGCGGAATAGGGTTAAACACTTCTCAACTACTTGCCGATCTGGCATGTCAATCGGCAAATGCACGTTTGCTACATCGACCGATGAACCCCAGTCTGAATGTGCGATATTGTGCCAGGACTGGCGAAGTGCTGTAATTCGCTCAAGTGACGCATCTTGGCCTGTACGGGACCGGATCCATTGTTCACCCAGTTCCGAAAACACGGGAATGCCGCTGCTCG